ATATGGGCAGATTTGATTCTATTTCATTCAACATTGTCATAAAATTCGATTTTATTACATTGATTATAAAATTTAATTTGGTCATATATAATCAAAAAATTTGATACTTATACAGTTTTGAAAATTTTATTAGTTCGAAGAACAACATAAAATTAATGCTTAAACAATCTTCAAACACTAATAAAAATATAATTTTACTTGAACTATGTAGTTGTTCTAACTTTGACCCAAACCTTAATTTTATTAACTATAGGCAAATAACTATTTGCTAAATACATGTAATACTAAGTACAGAAGTAGAAAAAGTGACTCTATATTTTACTATTGTGTTCATTAGTTTTGCAATAATCACATATTTTGTGATCAGTGTCAAATCCATCCATATGTAGGCATCGTTTTATAATAACAAAAAAAAACAAAATAATATAATTTAGAAAAATAGATTATGTTCAATGCCTTTAAGAAAATCTAAAAAAGATCTATTATCATGGTCATTTAGAATTCTTTGTATTCATAATTCATGATTACGATCTTGTTTTCTTTGTGAAGGCCATGGTGCATCACTTGAAATTGCTTCTATATTAATCTTGACCTTATTTTGTTCTTTTTGAAATTCATTTATAATTTTAAAAATGCTTAGATTATTTGAACTTAATAAAGTTGACCATCTTCGATGCCAAGCTTCAACAGAATTTGAAGTTCTAGGGAAATTATTTTCATTATTTTCATAGACAGACAAAAAGGGGAAAACAATGGATGTGATCAGATTGTATTACCATCTTGAGAAATCCATTTTACTCGTCCATGAACATAATTATCTTCAAACCATTTGATAATTTCATGAGCTTTGTCAGGCATATAGTTTTTTAATTCTTCAAAAGCTTCAGAAATCCTATCTGAAGGTAAAAAGGCAAGTGTGGAAATATGATGGATCATTAAACTAAAATTTATGTCAGTTCCATAATGGTTAGTGAGTCTGGAAGACTGAACTTTCTGATATACACTTTGTGATAAGTGAAAGAAACAGCCTTTTTTTTGAGCATCAGGAAATTCTACTTGGACAGCATTTATAGCAGCTAATTCAAAATCTGTTAAAATAAATCATGACTGTAAAAGAATATCATTGTTTTTACTAAAATCTGCCAAATCATGAAATAATTCTCTATAACATATTTCTGATTTACTAAACATTAGTGCATAGACGAGTGATAAAATTCTTGAATTATCACTTCCTCCAACACGACTGTGGATTGTATATAATTGCAAAAATATTGATGGAACTGTTTTAAAAGTTCCATCTATAAGCCAAATTAAAGATTGGCTTAAATGTTAAAGATTAAAGACAGTAGAAAAAATTAAAAAAATCTTTCTTGACCAATTGTGAAATCCTTTATTAAAAAATCAGAACCATTTAAAGTTTTTTTAAGATCATCAGAAATTACAAGATCATCTAATGATCTTGGTTTAGTTGGAAAATTACCTCGCTGAATTCTTTGAATAGACTGGTAGAGTGCATTATAAGTCAGAAGATTTGAATAGATTTCTTCAGAGCTATTTTCAAGAAAAGATTGAATAATTTGAGATGGTTTGCTAAAAGGTTGTCTAGCCTATTCCTTTAATTTATTAGTAAATTTTCTCACTTCAGCTCAACTCACTTCAGCAGAATGGTTATGTTCATTTGTCTTTCTTAAATAATGATTTCTTTCGATTAAAATAGTATTAGCATATCCATTACACATTAATGTATCATGCTTTTCACAACACCAATAATATAGATCTCTCAAATTTTTATCCTTCACCATAATATAGCCATGAACATTAATGGTGAGTTTTTCACAAATTGAAGGGATAATCTTGTATAGTGTACTTTTTATTAAAGTTTTAAAAAAGAGAGAAAGAAAGTAATGGATAGATAGAGGGAATAAACACAAAACAAAAAGAGATAAAAAATATTTTTTTTTGTATGTGAATCGATTATTATAAGCAAATGTTTAAAATATTATATACACTTTTTTTATTCTATATAATTAACTTTCGCTTTATATATATTTAACTTTCTTGCTATTGCATATTAAAATTTATTTGTAATGTAATTAATTTGATACATTTTGCCATATAATGATTTGATTTTTATATCACATATATTTAATTAAACTTACACTATATATATTTAACTTGCATATAATTAATATATAGTTATGATAAATTTACATAATATATATTTAACTCGCTTTCAACTTAAATCATATATACCAGGAATAGAGTTTGTACAATATACAATGTAAAGTATGGTTTATAGGCATTTGTCTCTTTTTTATCTGATTGGTTATTCTAATTTTGTAACTTCGTCTTGTGATTTCTAGATTAAATATGATAATTATTGCACTTTGAAAAAAGGTGTGACCTCTGCAAATCATCGTTTAATGTAAAATTGTGATGATTTTTCAATTCTAAAAGAATTACACAGATTTTCACTTATCGAGAATATATAATTGATAGAAAATCATAATTTTTGAAATTTTCCACTATCATTATCACAAAAATCATGGGATCACACCTTTTTGCAAATCGCTATAATATAGTATAAATCATTTATTCTAAATATACCCATTGACAAATGTTTAAAATAAAATAACAAATCTTTTATTTTAAAAAAACTACGTACATTCAAGAATGCTACATCTATACCATACTAATACTAATCTAATCTATCTAAATTGCATATAAAGTCTACCTAAATAACATAGTTAGTATTTGATCTACTGCACATATAATCTAATTTTAAGTTGCAAATAAAACTTATAAAAGTTAAGCAACCAAAAAACTTTTGACGAAAGCAGTTTCATCTGCAACTCGATCTGAAAATCCATCTTCCATTCCTGGTTTTGTGTGACAACGTCGCAAAGCTACTTATTCTTTTTAACTCATTTAATTAATAAATAATTCATGCCAAAGAACATTAAATTATATATTTTTAGCTTGTTTAATCAATATAATATTTCACGTAAGAGGACTTTAATTACATATTTTTAACTCATTTAATCTATCTAATATAATTTTTGATCTTATATTATGTTAGGGGCAAAGAAAGTAATTAATAACAGTAATATAATACATATCATTTTTTAAAAAAAATTTAATAAGAATTTGTTAATTAATATTTTTTAAATTTATGATTAATTATATAATTATTTTGGTTCATATTTATTAGGACATTTTATTTGTGTCAATTATAAAATTTAGACTTATTAAAGTTAAACTTTTACAAGGTATACTTTAATTTCCTATTACCTTTTGCTCAATTAATATATTATTAACTTATTAACCAATGGATTATAATAAATAAATATTTATTCATAAATCACTTATTATCTTTTACTTATTTAATATATTATTAACTTATTAACTGATGGATTATAATAAATAATTACTCTTGATTTTCTATTACCTTTTACACATTTAATATATTATTAACTTATTAACTGATGGATTATAATAAATACTTAAAATCACTCTTAATTTCCTATTACCTTTCACTCATTTAATATATTATTAACTTATTTATTGATAGATTATAATAAATACTAACTCTTGACTTTCTATTACCTTTCGCATATTTATTATATTATTAACTTATTAACCGATGGATTATAATAAATACTTACTCAAAATCACTTTTGATTTCCTATTACCTTTCATTCATTTAATATATTATTAACCGATAGATTATAATAAATACTAACTTTTGACTTTCTATTATCTTTTACATATTTAATATATTATTAACTTATTAACTGATAGATTATAATAAATACTTAAACATAAATCACTCTTGATTTCCTATTACCTTTCACTCATTTAATATATTATTAACCAATGGATTATAATAAACAATTACTCTTGATTTTCTATTACCTTTCGCATATTTAATATATTATTAACTTATTAACTAATAGATTATAATAAATACTTACTCAAAATCACTCTTGATTTCCTATTACCTTTCACTCATTTAATATATTATTAACTGATAGATTATAATAAATACTAACTCTTGACTTTCTATTACCTTTCATACATTTAATATATTATTAACTTATTAACCGATAGATTATAATAAATACTTAAACATAAATCACTCTTAATTTCCTATTACCTTTCACTCATTTAATATATTATTAACCAATGGATTATAATAAATAATTACTCTTGATTTTTTATTACCTTTTGCACATTTAATATATTATTAACTTATTAACTGATGGATTATAATAAATACTTACTCAAAATCATTCTTGATTTTCTATTACCTTTCACTCATTTAATATATTATTAACTTATTTACTGATGGATTATAATAAATACTAACTCTTGACTTTCTATTACCTTTTGCACATTTAATATATTATTAACTTATTAACTGATGGATTATAATAAATACTTAAACATAAATTACTCTTGATTTCCTATTATCTTTCACTCATTTAATATATTATTAACTTATTTACTGATAGATTATAATAAATACTTACTCTTGATTTTCTATTACCTTTCGCACATTTAATATATTATTAACTTATTAACTAATAGATTATAATAAATACTTACTCAAAATCACTCTTAATTTTCTATTACCTTTCACTCATTTAATATATTATTAACTGATGGATTATAATAAATACTAACTCTAAAAATTATTCATAAATACTTAACAATTAACTGCAGGTGAGCTTAATGAATTCAGGAAGTTAATATCGAGGAAGTGATTTTAGTGAAATTGTTGTATTGGAGAATCAAATGTCGAGAAAATAAAAGTATCAGGGAAATAAAATTTTTGGGAAAATAAGTGTCAGAGAAATGAAGGTGTTGAGGAAATAGAAAATGAAAGTGTCTGGGAAATGAAAATGTTGGAAAAATAAAATGTTCAAGGAAATAAAATTTAGGAAAATGAAAGTTTCAGAGAAATAAAATTTTCAGTGAAGTAATTGTTGGAAAAATCAATGTGTTGTGGAAGTGATTGTCAGGGAAGTGGTTTTTGGAGAAGTGATTGTTGAGAAAAATAAAATTTTCGGGGAAATAAAAATTTTGGTGAAGTAATTATCAGGAAAATTAATGTGTCGGGAAAGTAATTGTTGGATAAATGGTTTTCAGAGAAGTAATTGTCAGGGAAAAAAATTTCAAGGAAATGAAAATTTCGGGGAAATAAAAATTTTGGAAAAGTAATTATCAAAGAAATTAATGTGTTGGGGAAGTAATTGTTAGGGAAGTGGTTTTTGGAGAAGTTATTTTTAAGAAAATAATTTTCAGGAAAATAATTAAAACCCATTTACAGATAAGTTACAGAAATTTTTATGTAAATTAATAAAGTATAAATTGAGAAATGATGATATGGTTACATGAAAAATGTGTAAGGGAAAAAGAGAACAGATAGGAACAAAAATAGAAGAAAGAAAAAGTTTTACAAGAGAATAAAAGAGAAATTTTATTATAATTTGGCTAATATTAGATTAAAATTCTTTGTTTAGAGCTTGTTTTGATCAGACAAATGTATATTACAACTTTAATTAAGAGTATAAGATTTATTATTATAGTAGAAATTATGAAAAAAAATTAATTGTTAAAACTGAGACCAAAGGCTGTCAGTACAGTTTTCTCAGTAAGTTTAAAAGCTAAAAGTATAATATTTTCAGATTATATATAAAATTCTGAGCTGAACAAGTTTATTTAAGATATCAGGATAGGTTGTCTTAGTAAATAAATAGTTATAAGCATTTTTGTATAAACAATTTTAGTTACTTTTTTGTGTAATAGATTTGCAGAAAAAGTTTTTTAATATTAAATTTTTTATATAGAATAGCTTTAGTTTCTAGTAATGATTTTTTTTTATAAAATTTAGTTATTGCTGAATAGTTAGAAGATTCATTGTGAGTACAGTCGAAGTATATAATAACATGTATAAGAAAGTTAGTATTAATGAGTTTAGATGTAAGAAAATAATAGTCTGTTGTTTATCTATATTGTTGATATTATGATTTTCTGTAGCAGTATTTTGATAGATAGTTAGATATTAATAAAAGTAAAAAGTTTTTCTTTTTGGATTAGTTCTGACAAAATTAACAGAACAAGTATACTCTTCTGCTTTTACTGCTAGTTTATCTAAGACTGTTATAGAAATTTGTTTAGTAAATATAACTTTATATTTTTTTTTAATATAGAATATTAAGACATTAAAAAAAGGTTTATTCTAAGCTTTAATTTCTTTTAAAAAGTGTTTTTTTTGGTATTAAGATAAGGCCTTGCTTATATCTTTATTGGTAGTTTTTAAAGTTAGTAACTATATAGAGTTACTATATATAAAAATAATTTTATATAAATGCTATGGCCAAGGCCAACACTTGCAGTTAGGGCTAACTAATAAACTGTTAACTATATAAACTAGCTTAAGTACAAATAAGAAGAAAACTATATTCAGGGGTGTAGTGACCTAGTAAAGTGATCAGGTTGTTAACCCCCAAGTGGTATGTTGAGTGTTCAAATCCTATCAATGGTGAAAATTTGAATAATCACTTATATAATATTCGTATTATGGCAACTGTTACTAATAATTGGATTAGGATATCTGTAATGGCAGTCACACTAGCATAACTGGTAGGTCATGGAGTATTCATGTAATAGGTTATATAACATTGTCCTTTGGGACAATGTTGTTGTTATACAAAGAAATGCAAACTGGCAATTAGGCAGTGCAAACACTAGATAAGTCCTTGTGGCTGTGTAAATCTGTTGAAATTAGGTAATAAGAAGTCCATTTGGGAAGACCTGAGTAGAGAGGTAGCCAGATCTTCAACAGCTCTACTGTAAAGGCTAGCCTTATGAAATGGATATCAAGGTTGAAGTAGTTAAATTGGCAAAAACCTCTAGATGGAGGTACACCAACCAGACTACTGGATCGAGCCAGAAGAAAAGGATATCTGGCTAACCTGATATACCAATAGACTGTTATAAGTCCTATTGGACTATCTGAATTGGGAGTTTGGTAAACTGGCAGAGGTATACTAAAGTATTTCAGATATGCTGTAAAGTAGATGTTGGGGTTTGTGTGAACTCTACAAGGGCATAGCAGTTTAATGGTTAGCCATGACCACAAGTGTTAGTTCTGTCATAGCAATACCTAGGTCAGCTATAAAAATAGGTACAGAAGGCTCTAGAGGGTTTACCTTAAGAATAAATTAGTCCTAAGATTGAGATGATGATCTGGGCATCTAGAATAACCTAGTGATGTTAATACAGATTACAGGTTTAGAGGGTTTAAAGTGGAACATCCAAACAGGAGTGTTAGGTACAGCAATTGGTAAAGAACCTTTAGATGGACTCCTTAAATAGATAATATAGAAAAGTTACATGTGTAGCCAATTGTATGCTCTCCTGTAGTAGTTCATTAAACTACAATACTGATAAGTGATTAATAAAAGTCAAAAGACCAAATAGGTCACCTTAATACCAAAAAAAAAAAAAAAAAAAAACTACATTTAAGAGTAAAGCTCAGATATATTTATCTGTAACCTAAACCCACTAAAGTGTTTAAGACTTACCTAGATTTGAATTGTTAAAATATAGTTAAATGAAATATTGTATTTGATCCAAAGAATAGTTTATATATTGATTTTTTTAATAGCATGACCAAGGGGTGGACATGTATTGAAGTTTGAATATATTTGGTCAGATAGTCTATATATACATAAATATGTATAAGTTTGGTGATTGTATTTAGTTTGTCTATTATAAATAGTTTGAGTTGAGTATTTGAAAAAGGAAGGTTTAAGGCTTTGTTGTTTTTTCCAATTTGAAAGTTTATACAATATGGTTTTTAGACTAGTTTATAGCATAGCTTATTGATTTCAAGTAGTATTTTAATAATCATTTGTGATGCTAATTTGTAAAGAATGTTAAAGTTTTGAATTGTTTAAATTGGAGATTTGGGTATAAGTTCTTTAAGAATAATATCAAAATAAAATGAGTTTTCATTGAATGGTATTAGATGAAAGGTTTTATGATTTTGGATTTTTTGGATAAGTTCTTCTTACTGGGTTTTAGAAAGGTCCAGGTTAATTTAACTGATATGTTTGAAGATAGTATTTTGAATAATACTAGTGAGCAATATTGGGTTAAAACATGTTCGCCAATAAGATAATAAGTCAAATAAGTTGAAATGAAAGCAGTTTATATTATAGAAAATATGTGAATATATTTTGTGATATATAAAATATATATGTAGTTCATTTAGTAGAATTTTAATTTTAAAAGATTTGAAATGATTAAGTTTAAAATTGGTTATATTATGTGTTGGTTTTTGGTTATGATTAAAGTATAACTGAGTGGATCTCCAATCTATTTTTGAAATAAGTTGGTTCCATTCCTGGTTTCATTTTTGAGATAACCACATTGCCAAGATGTAGGCTTTGCAGATATTTTTAATAAATGTTCTTATAGAATATTTTATAAAATGTTAATCTTAGAATAGCAAGTGGTATGGGTTATAGATATTGATATAATTGAAATATAAATCAAGAGAATGATTATATTGTTTAGCAAGAGAGTCAACAAGATTGTTTAAACTATCATCAGTATGAGCTTGCACCTTGTGAAAGTTAATTTGAAGGTTATAATATTTAATGATGTTCAGTAAAGTATATTATATAGGCCATGTATTAAATTTAAAAAGTTTATTAGAGTTGGAGATTGTAGTATAAATGTTAGTATATTTAGTGATGATAGATTGGGAATCTGTAAAGATATTGATTATTGCATTTCAGAGTATAGTAGAGATAGCTGAGAGAATGGCCATTAGTTCAGCTTTGTAAGATAATAGTCAGAAGTTAATTTTGGCAGAAAATTTGTGAATAATTTAGTTATTGTTGTTAACCTAAACCTAGCTAATGCCTATTGTACATTGGTCAGTTCTGATGTTTATTACTGAGCCATTAGTATAAAAGTTAAATTGTTGTTGAGAGCTATTGAGAATTGAGTATTGTTCAAGTATGTTTGCTGTTTTACTAGTTTTGAATATTTCAGAGACATAAGAGTTTGGAATTGGAATTGTTAGTACTAGAAAGATTGATATTGGATGTTTAATAGCTTTTGAATGAATAAGGTCAATATAGTTGGCATTAAAGTTTAATGTGTTAGAGTTAACTCTTTCTAGAAATTGGAAAGAGATAATTGCAGATACATTAATTGTACATGAGTTCTGAATTCTGTTGGAGTTTAAATAACAGTCTAAGCAAAATGAATATTGGGTTAGTATAAGAGAATAGTATCTAGAGTAATTTATATCAATATTTGTTTGCCAATATGTGATAAATATTTGGTTAGTGTTTTTGAAATGTCTGTGAATTTTGCCAATAATAATCTCATTGTCTATATATGTAAGTAACCAGAATTTAAATATTTTAGAAATATGTTGTGAGCTGTATGCAAATGAATTATATTCTGGTTGTTAGTAGTGTAGAAGAAGGATTCTGAAACTATTGTAAGCCATTACAGTATCTTCTAAATGAGTGAACTATAATAGTTTTCAACCCTTAGATAAGTGTGACAGTCAAGGTAAAAGATGTTTCTATTTCAGTAAAGTAGTATTGTTAGCTGTACAAAGCTGTTTAAGGTATAAGATATTGAGATTTCTAATTTGTTTTTTGAAGTTAATATATTGTAGGTGTTGAGATAGGATTGATTCTAGTAATTGAAGATTGTATGATATAGTGTTTGGTCATAAGACATTGGGATTAGCTGTTATCGATATATTTAAGTATATTAGTAATTAAATAATTTTAAAATTTAAGGTATGTTTATTTGAACCATCAATAATTGGATTGGGATGTTGAAATATATTAATAGTTGACCATAGGTTGTTTTGAAGCTGTTGTAGTCTTATTCGTATTGAGATTTCTAGTAAGTTAGGATTGTTAAGTCATAGTAAAAAGTTGGTAATATGATGCTAGAGTTGAATATCCTATAAGTTGCAAATGTTATACAAGTATGGATTAAGCATTATGCTATTTAGGATTGAGCATGCTAAATGAGATTTGCATTTGACTATTGTTAAGTATTTAGTAAAAATATTCTTATCTATAAAGTGCAGCATAATGATGTTATTTTTTTTTTTTTTTGGTGTTAAGGTGAGGCCTTGCTCATATCTTTATTGGTAGTTTTTAAAGTTAGTAACT